CTGTTCTATTATCATTTTAGTTGCCTTAGATGGGCTACTTAAATGCTTTTAGTCTTGGTTTTCTTATCTCCAAAAGGGGGTAAGTAATGTCATAGGGTTGTCAAAATTTAGTAAGATGACACATGTAAAATGGTTAATGCAATGTCTAGCATGCAGTGAACACTCAAAATTATACTGTCTGCTGCTAGCATTCTCATTGCTTTGATATTATTTACTTTGTTATAATTGCCAACTTCAGGCAAGCCATTCCATTTCAGATAGCACTAATATCAGTAGAAGCATTTCTTTTGTTGTACTTAAACCAGCCACCAGTGAGTGATACTATATGAAGAAAGGAGATCTTGGAAATAGTTGACCAGTTTGAAAACTATCACGAGTCCAAAGATACTAAAGACCTAAACTGGGGCTTACATGCTACCTCGGAATAGAGGAGAGGCAAGTGCAAAAGAATTCATGTAAGAAAACATACTTGGATTTGACAACTGATTAGACATGAGGGGAGAAAGGACTCTGAAGTCACCAGAAATGGGGATCACAAGAGAAACAGATTTGGGAAAGAAAATGAAGAGTAGATTTTAAGTTATGAAATTCATGGTGGATTAAGTAATTCGATCATAAGGTTTTACTATAATAAAGAGGTCAGCCACCAGATTGCAAAGCAATGTAGACATTTTTGAGTGGTAAGAAAGTGGGAGAAGACATTAAGAAATTTCATGTTAAAATATAGTGGCAGGTTTAAGAGAAAAGTACTAGTTTTAATGTTGTTGGGGTAGAATGAAAGATATTTAAATAGCTTTTAGACTTGGGAAGGTCCGTAAAGAATCAAGAGAAAGGTTGGAGATCTAGTGGAATAAAGAAGTGGAATGCAGTTATGGAGAAGCTTATCTTTGAGAAGATGAGAATGCTTTTCCCCTGAAATCAGAGTGGGACAAGGAGAGAATAAAGGGGAAGAGAGACCCTTTAGAGGAGGGGGAAGAGGGCAGGATTTTTCTCAATAGTCGCAGTCTCAGTAAAGCAAGAAGCAACACGGACAAAGGCAGTGTCAGGAAGTGTTCTTTGACATGAAGAGTCAAAATGGTGGGAAATAGATGTGTTAGGAAATGTAAAAGTAGTTAATCACGTAGAAATTAAAAAATTCCTGAAGAAAGTATAGAAAACCCAAAAGATAGTCGACCACGTACATTAACCTAGGGTAGTTAGTAGAAGGACTAAGCTTAGTTTGGTGTTCAATTTCTCCATTTCCTGTAATTCACTAGCAGTTACATCATAAATTCAGTTTATGGGGTTTCTACTTCTGTCTCAGGTACTTAATTAGAATAGAATATCCAATAAGTTGCTGGAATATGTTTTTAGAAACGGGATCTAAAAGATAGTGGAGTCCAGTCCGCACTGAGAAATTGATGCTTAAGAGGGTGGAGAGATGCCCCCCTCCCAAGGTCATGCTGCTAGTTTGCAGCTGACTAAAATCCTAGTCAAGCTACTACCTGCATTTCTGCTACATTTTGAGGAGCTGTGGATTTTCCAATGTTATAACAACAGTCACTGGCAGCACTGAGACTATTCAGGTGGCCCAAGTACAGAATAATGCCAGTTGAACTAAATACTACCTTCAACAGTTTCTTACCTCTTAAATAGGATATGAGATGCTCTTGTTCTTAAAATCCAAATTGCTGGAGGCAGACTTTCTAGAAGTGTAGTCTGATGACACGCACAGACTACTACCTGTATTTTTAATAGACTTATTGCCTCTCTGTGCACTTGTGCTCAGTTTTAATCATTCACAGAAAAAGGGTCAACTAACCTTTGACAAGACTGTGTCTGTATGTTATGGTAAATACACATTAAAACAAAAATGAAAAAGCCTTCACTAATGTGAAATGCTGATTACTTTTGTTTTTCTTCCATTCTGGATCATTGAATCCATCTTTTTCCATCTCTTTTGTCTAACACCACAGTTGAATGAGTCCAGTGCAGTACAAAAGGCATTCGATTAGGAGTCAGAAATTGGCATTTGTCTGGTTCTGTCACTGATCATCAGGGCTTAGACACTTCTTGGGCTCTCTTTTGCTTGTGTGATAATTCTTTCTCTGCTCAGAGTTTATTGTATGGAAATCTGAAACAGGTAAATAAAAATCGTAAGCCCTGTGCAAATGTATAATGCAGAAATTTATTGTATTTGGCTTCAATTTGCATTGGTTCTGTAGCAGTGGTGTGTTATGCAATGATGTGTTGCAAAATATAATGGTAGACCTAATGGCTTAAATCAGTATGTCTTGGGAATTGAATAATTGGTCATTCAGAGATATTATATTCTAATTTTTAAATGATCCTTTGAGCACCACGTATTCATTCCACAAATATCTATGGAGCACCTACTATATACTAGGTTACAAAGAACGGTTTATTATCATAAGACCTATATTTTGTTTTAAAATCAATGAATATTTACTTCACCACTTTAAGTATAGTTAAGTGGCATAATCTGCTCTCTGCTTGAAAAAAAATGATAGTGCTATAAAACAAAATTGGAATTTGCCTATAATATACAAGTATCAGCTGAGATGGTGTTGTAAAGGACAAACCTAACTAGGAGAAGAAGGGCAAAATGCCTAAGCCTTTATTTTCCTGAAAAACTTGGTTTAAGAGGGTATTTGAAATGCTTTGTGATCACAGTGGAAAAGATTTACACTCTGGATTTTTAAAACATGGTGAAGTTTAGGATTTTTTTTTTTTTTTTTTAAAGAACAGAACATTTCTGTCTCATTTTATTCATGAGAAGGTTATGTGAGATCAAGTTGACTGCAAAGCCTTGAATCTGACCTTCGGTAGTTCTGTTAGCAACGGGACCCCTGCATCATGAAAGCATTAAGTCCTCAGAAATGTATCTACTAGAGATGCGTAATTTTGGTGGCCCATCTGGTCTGATTTTAGCTTCTCAACATTTCTCTAAGAGCCAGGACAGGGGAAAAAACAACAAAAATTTCATGCAGCATACTTGTCAAGAAACGCATTTCATAAATCACTGATATTTTGACTCACAGGATACAAAGAATTTCTATTACATTCTGTTACAATTCAATAATGTAACATTTGATTCCAGTAGCAGTTAGTGTTTTGGCTGGAACAGCCTCCTTCACTCATTCTGTTTTCTGCTACAGAATGAGTGAAGCATTCTGGAATGGGGGAATGGAGCCCTGAGCACAGCTTTCACTAGAAAGCAGCAAGCTAATCAGTGATCGCAAGCCTTTCAGTGGTTTGTGCCTAATGAGAAAGTAGGCTGAATATACAAATGCATCTCATCTCTTTCTCTCTCTATTTATGAAACGACAAACCTCCTGCTGATTTCATGAACATACTACCTGTACACCAGACCCCCAACTTAGAAGAGCCCAAATTTGATTTAAAGCTCTGCTGTCGCTTTCTTAAGATTCTTGATAACTCTTGAACAAAGAGTCTACATGTTCATTTCGTATCGAGCCCCACAAATTAGGTAGCCAGTTTTGCTACTCATCTCCGCACACTGGGATTGTTCTGGACCATCAAGAGCTTAGGCTTGAGATTTAGAGAATGTCCAATAAATGTTTTCAGAATGAGCAAAATTCCTGATTTTTTAAAGCTTTAAATAAAAGCAAGTAACCTTAATCTTACTCCATTTAATTTAGCTGATGTGAGGAGTGGAGGAAAGGTACTACACTTTTGAGGAAAATTTTAAGATATAAGAAAGACCCAAAAATAGTTTACCCATCCCTATGTTTCCATCATCATAACATGGCAGCTACTATTTTATTCTATTAACTTAGTGTTTATTTAAAAATAAAAAGCAGATGAAGTTTACCTATTGACCCCACCTCAAGTCCTATTTTTCTCCTCACCTGCTCACTGGGAGTTAAAGTACTATCATAGATGTTGTATCCTTCCAGTATTTGTTATCCCTTTGCAGTGCCAGGAATAATATTTGGTAACATACTTCGTATGTCTTAATATTTATGTAAATGATAGGAAACTGTATGCACCAATCTGTAATTTGTTGTTTTTATTTGATATTTTGTTTCTAAAATCTATCCACATTGATACATGTCGTTCTCCCATTCATTCTCTGTATATAGTAGTATACTGTACTTGATCTGCTACCCCACTTACAGAGGCTGTTTAAAGTAGAACCAGAGGAGTCTTTCTTTGTATTTCGATTCTGCCACTGCCACTGGTACAAGTCAGTAGCTGGGTGATACTGGACAAGTTAAGTGAATGTTCTGAAACTCCATTTTCACATTTGTAAAATGAGATTAATAATTTATACCAGTTAAGATGTTTTCGTGACAATTAAACCAGGTAATATATGTAAAACCTATGTTCAAAAAATAGTAGTAGGGATTATTGTACACATATATATGTGTATATTTATGTATATATGAGTGTTATGAAGTCCTAAGTAAATACATAACAGTGATATTGAATTGGCATTGTTTAACTTTTTTTATTGTACTCTTGGCTATTGGTCTTCTTTTTTATAATAAACAGCTCAACCTTAAAATGCAGTACTAAGTACATCTTAGTCTTAGGTTCTTTTTTTTACAAAATTGAATGATATTACCTCTAACATATCCTCCATGGATGAAAAAGCCTAAATTCATACAACTATGAAACTACCATATTATTTATAAAATGGCACCTATGTTCCACTCTATGTATAATTGGAAAAGAATAGTGTTTTCCAACTTTCATCTTGCAAAGCAGCAAATAGTAGAATGAGAATTCTGGAATTCTATCAGGCCAAAACTGTGCTGCTGCAAAGACCCCAACTTGCAATGAGAAGTTAAAAACCTAAGCACACGTTGAGCTTAGTTTTTTAATGTTCTCTGCAATTTTGTAAAAAATTGGAAGAGAAGCCAATATTACATAGTATCCCAAGTTGGTTGAAATCTGTAATGAAGTAAGAAACTTGAAATAACATTCTGAATCCCCCGGTGATTTTAAAGCATGATATTCTGGCTATTCAACAGATTTTATACAATTCGCTATCGAGAAAAGGATAAAGAAAAGAAGTGGATTTTTCAAATCTGTCCGGCCACTGAAACAATTGTGGAAAATCTAAAGCCAAACACAGTTTATGAATTTGGAGTGAAAGACAATGTGGAAGGTGGAATTTGGAGTAAGATTTTCAATCACAAGACTGTTGTTGGAAGTAAGTACCTAGAAATGTGTGTTTCAGTAAGCTTTTATAATTTTTTCTTAGTTACCTAATTTTTGATTATGTTATTCATTGTATAATATGAAATCAGGTAATTCCTAAGCTCTAGTATTTACGAAAATATAGAAGCAAACAGGATATATTGAGCATTGATATTTCAGAATCTTTTGTTATAAGTGATTTATAAAATAAGTAATAAAGATTTGATGCCTCCATTGATGTCATTGGCTATTGTATTATAGTAGTTTAAAATCAATCCCTGACCTACAAACACCGACTGAACCAGAAAAACAATAACATGTACCAGTGTTCAGAATGGAAAGCTAGACCAGTAGAGGTGCCCAAAGAAAGACTTTCGGGAACCTTGAGCTTTCTTCCAGTCATCCCGTCATTAAAACTTCATAGGCATCAGTGTTTAAAATTATAGCAATTAAAATTATACATCCAAGTTACAGGATGAGTTGAAATTGTCTTTATAATGATTAACTACAGTTGACTTAGGAGCCAGTAGAATAGAAATAATGTCATTTTTCCCTTGTCTCATCAGGTAAAAAAGTAAATGGGAAAATCCAAAGTACCTATGACCAAGACCACACAGTGGTATGTAGCAGTTTATTTTCAAGAATGTTTTTTTAAAAAAATTATATCTGCATTGTTAAGGAAATCATCTTATTAAAAGATACTGAAATTAGATTGACTAGCTATGAAACAGTGGATAAAGTACTTAGTTTTAGGAATTAGTTTCTTTTTCTTAATACTAAGTAAAAGCATGATTTCAAATCATCTCTGATTTGTTTGAAGTTCTAAAATTCTGAGATTCAATGTAGCTTATTCTAGTGTTTCAGTATTCTGGGTATTTCAAGGTTATACATATTATCTTCTGTCGATTGCTTTTTAATATAATGTTTTAAGAGCAAATTGATACATGTTTTATGTACATTGCTACAGCTTAAACCTTTCCTTTCTATTTTCTATCGTACCCTACTTAAAGGAGCCAGTCTTTTTCGCAATGATGGAGCAACAAGTTTGATTTTGTAAAATGCCCAGCCTCTGTTCAGTTCAGACAATGTTTGTGTTTTATGAACCAGGCATTTCCCCATGAATCGAAAAACATCCTTTTCTCTCTCACTGCAGCCACGTGGTTTCTCATGCTCTCTTTCCTTCCACTTTTCAAAATCTATTCTCAGGAAGCATCATGTCAAGTATACACCCCCCTGGGATAACTGTAAGTCACTGTTAGAGCCACCACAGACATCTTTGCGTTTCAAATCTCATACCCAGTGATTAGTTTGGTGCCAAAATAATTGCAGCTTTTGCCATTAAAAGTAACAAAGGACATTATATTACCAGGCAGACAGAGGAGGCACTTCGGTGAGAAAGGAATTTGATGTTCACTTTGGTCCCTAGATATTGGAAGTATCCTACAGTCAAATGAACGTGTGAAGATTCTTTGTGGGTGGAATTTTGCTCTCTGAGATGTGTGCTTGAGGTGTGTGGCCAAATATCTTTTTATGTCTAATTAAGTAGTCCACAGAATAGCCCCATGGATCATGTGGCCCAGTCTGGAAAAAAAAATAGTAGTATATAATTCACTCGGATTAAAAACAAAAACAGAAGATTGGTTTTGGTGACAGAAAATAGTCTTAGATAAAGTAGAACTGACTAAAAGTCTGCCTAAGGCAAATGTTGTTTATATGGTTTGAAATGGCAGAAAAGTGTGTTCATTGTGAAATTATTAAATAATAATTATGAGATTGTTATAATTGCTAGGAAAATATTTGGATGTATTTCAGATATTAATACAAAAAAGAGATTGCAGGTAAATTCCTAGGCCTGTTTTTTTCTCTCTTTTTTTTAAACTTGTCTGTTTAGTTGGTTTTTTGTTTTTAGGTTTTGCTGCTTTTCAAATTGTCTAATACTTAAATATTTAGAATATTAAGTGGGAAAAGAAGCATTAACAAGGTTACCTGTAACAAAACTACCTATAAGGGTAGTATAAAACCATTAATAGTCTGGTAAAACTTTAGAGCATCTTTTGTTTTCTAAGTATGTTTTCATTACAAATTAAAATCGTACTATATTTGCAATTTTCTATCTTGCTGTTTTCACTTGGTCAAAATATGTTATGAACACATTTCATGTCATCAAATGCTCTTCATAAACATAATTTGAATTGCTGTGTACTGTATCATAAATGCACGATTATTAAGTTTCCAATTTGTAGGCATTTAAGTTATTTCTAATTGTTTTTAAATTGTGGGTGATGTTATAGTGAGCACTTACGTTTATGAACACTTGTGATAAAGCTTTGTTCACAATGCTGATCATTTCCTTAAAATAGATACTTAGAAGAGGAATTAACAATTCAGAGTTTTAACATTTTTAAGCCTTCCTAGTACTATGGTCAGATTTCTTTCCTGAAAAGTGGTACCAATGTATAAACTTGGCAGCAATGTATCAGTTTATGTTGCTATACCCTGATTGCCAACTTTATATATTTTCATCACTAAATTTTTGGCTAATGTAATAGCTTATAATCGTTACCTTAATTTTTATTTCTCCAGTTGCTGATGAAGCAGTAGTTTCTTCACTTTTGTTTATTAGCCAGTTGTATTATCCATTTAATAACGTTCTCTTGCAGTTCTTTCTTTGTTGGGTGTTTCATGGGTTCTTTTTAGAACTATATAGTGTAAGACTGTACACATTAAAGAAACATTGATCTGTTGATGATACTATCTAGAAATATTTTTCTCACATTTGTTATTGCTTAAGTTTGCTCATAGACATTTTTGAAATAGACAACTCGTAAAATCTCCTTAACCAAATTATTAGACTTTTCCATTGTGATATCCTCAATTGCATTCTATTTTAGAAAGACCCTCCCTCTCTAGAGAGCAGATAACTATTTCTCCCCTTTCTTTTCGTTTTGTAAGTGGTTTGATTTTATAATAATTCTGTGAACTTTATTTAACTATGGTATATAGGAAGGTTCTGTATTGATTAGCTATGTATTTTTCCCCCAAATAACTAACTGGCTTAGTACTGTGTATTTATGTATTGAATTGTGCCTCTCCCTAAGGTCCCTTCACCTTTGTCTCTTAAATCCAGTCAACATTGTGTAGGAAAGGTAGATCTGCTGTACCTCACAGGCAAAACAGTGGGATAGAACTGCTCTTTCATCCTCTTCTAGAACAATCCTCACTCTTTGTTGTGAATGGTTTCCTAGGAAGAATACATTGTCTCCTTTCCTCTTGGCTGTCACGCTTAATCTTTCATGTGACTCCATGATATCATTTCTTTCATTCCCTCTTTTCAGCTATCATATCCCAGTAATTTGTATTTGTCTTGGCAGGATATTTCATTTAGGATGAGTTACTCAGCAAGATTGGGAAAGATGATTGACGTTTTACTCTCAGGGAATTTAATTTTTTTTTCCCTCAATATAAGCAGCCATGATAGGAAGGGCTAGGAAGAAACTTCCTTCCTCCATGACACAGAGCCAGGCATTTTATCACTTCAAGCTGTGAGGTGGAGTACCCTGACTGCAGCCAGCTCTGATGAGTTTAAAACTCTTCTTTATTTCCAAAGGAAAAACCAAATTCATTGAAAAGATATTTTAAGCCTTCTTTCAGAAGTTTTGTTGTTTCCTTCTGGACAACAACAAATATATATATATATATGAACTTACATCTTTGCTCTCAGGTAGCTCTGGGACATGGAGAAGTTGTAACAGAACTGCATGGGATAACTTTGACCATCTTATGTGACCACATAGAATTGATTCTGAAAACTGGTTTGATACTTTAGAGGTACATTTTAGTCCAAAGAAGTCTGTACCCAATTATTCATCCATTTCTTCTCTGAGACCTATCTTAGAAGGGCTATTTCAAGAGATATGAAATTAATTTCACATGTTTTGCTTTCTGGATTTCAATCAAAAAGACACATTGAAAACTTCTTTTATTCATATGAACGTGGTTTCGCAGCAAAAACTCTTGAACACCTTTCAATAAGAGGTATTCAGAATGGAAAAAAAAAAACAACTTGAACTTTAGGCTATACATTTTAAAGATAAATAAATTTCAGGTCAAAAATTTGAATATAAAATACAACCCATCCTATCCTTCTGGTTACACTATATATTGTAATTCATGTATCTAGATATGTGTTCCGCTGGCAGGCAAGCCCCAGTGCAGTTGTGCCCGGCATGTATAGCAGGGAATCTCTTCCGGTTGGCTAGTGCCTTTGTTCTACCAATTGGTAAATGTTTTCAATATTGCTCCTACCCATACCTCTAGAAAAGTCAGAGAAAGGGCATATGCAGAAACAAAGCTGTGATTCTTTCTATATAAAATAAATCACTTGAGATCCATTTGATTGAGGAAGAAAAAGATACATTTATCATGATGCTTGTGCTATTTTTTTTTTCCATTTAGAGCATGTAGGACACTCTTTTTTTTTTTTTTTTTAAGGTAAAACCTAATGTTTACTGTTAGGTTTTATTATTTTAAAAAATAAAGAATGATGGCTAATATTTTCAAACATTTTCTATATTTTGAAAACAATGTGTTACTTAACTAGCTAACTAAACAAAATCAATATTTGAAGTATGTAGCACTTATTAACAGATTTTTAAAAGCAAATTTAATTATTTAAATCTTCCTAGAATCAGTGTTCTCCAAAAATATGACACGTGTTTTTATCTTTTTTATTTTCCGTCAGAGACCCACCCATATTTTAAGAAATCCGCAGTTATCACCAAAAAGAGAAGTGGTACCAATTGTTAACATGTAACAATTATCAAATGATTGATGTGAACCGAGAGATTACCTTTATGGTCCCCAGCCACACTTTATGACTGTGTACAGTGAATGTATGAGGCATCCTTCCACCCTTAGCAATCCTTGTCTTAAGCAGAAACTTGAAAAACTTATATGTAGGCAAACTATTAATATATCATCAGAAGTTAAGTGTCTGATTCCTCCTCAGTTGACCAGAAATTTGAAGCCTTTTGAAAGCAGGACATTAGATTCACTTGTATCCAGATGTTAGATTGAATCAGTATGTTTTGTAACTTTCATTAGAACATCCTAAAAATGAATTAAAACCAGAATCTAATATGCCTGAGTTCTCATGTGGTTTGACTCTTGAGTCATTGAAATTTGACTTTGAGCCACTCTTTTAGCCACTACCCAAATGGACAGCTCCTCTTTATCTCAGGGCCTGAAAATAATGTTAAACCTACAATAATAATAATCTGATGCCATGAAAATGTCAAATGGACAAACTTACAAAAAATAACATCCTTAGTTATCACTAACTTTATTACAGCTAATTTTCTTTTTTTTTTTTTTTATACCTGATGTAAATGACGAGTTGATGGGTGCTGACGAGTTGATGGGTGCAGCACAGTAACATGGCACAAGTATACCTATGTAACAAACCTGCACGTTATGCACATGTACCCTAGAACTTAAAGTATAATAATAATAATAAATAAATTAAATAAAATATTACAGCTAATTTTCAAAATACTATCAGGAGGAAGTTAGTGTAACGCAGGGTGAGACGCAAGACGCAAGTTCCTTGTCACGTGTGGTGGTGGCAGCGGCTACTGCTGCTGCTGCATGTATTTCTAAAGAAGCATACACCTTCCCTAGTCATGGCAAGAAAGCATGCTGCATTTGTCTCCGGGGCATCACCCTTCACACTCGAGTAGTCTCTCTTCATTGAATGTCACCAACTGCATGCTTTGCCGCAGTGTCCCAGAAAATCAGTAAAAATAAATGATCTTAACCAGACTTCTGCTCAAGGCATAGCCCAACCTGCATTTCGAATGCACAGGATATCTGGAAATGAGAAAAAAAAAATCTGTTATAGGGCAAGAAGGAAATATGCTTACTTCCTGGCATTTAGTAAACATTGAAAGATGAGAACTATGGAAGGAAGAAGCGGTGGAGGTTTGCAGCAAGAATGGGGGAATCGGCAAGCTGTAGAGAAAAGAGAGCGAGCAAGGGAATGCCTAAGAAGGAAAATCGCTGCCAGAGTGGTGTCTGAGGACAGCAGTATTGTGCTGCGGCCACAGCAGCCAAAATAGTATGGAAGCCGGCGGGGCTGTCACTGCCTCCTTCCCATTTCCAAGCCCCACACTGTCTGCACCTGTGACTCTGATATACATTAATAGTTGTTAGTAATAACAAGCCTAGAAAAAGTAAGGAAAGGACAGCAAGGAAATATTTTTTTAAAAACATTGTACATAAAGCAGTTCTGTCAAAATTGGATTGTAATTGGTTAAACACTGTATCTTGGAAATTATCACAGTACTTCACTTTGCAGTGAGTGTGTTTAACAAACTTTTCCCTGCCCTTTTATTTGATAAGAAGACATAGGAGGGGATTCACATTGTGAATTTCCAAATGGAAATTGTAGAGGTGTTGGCAGAGACATGGTGAGCCACAGAACTTTCCCGATGCCCTTTAAAAACCCACCTGTAGAGATGCAGCTGTTTGCTCATTAGTGCAGTCCTTGTGCGTCTTTGGATTGTGGATTAAGCAGGAGAGCATTTCTAGGCCTAGAAAACAAAATTGCATTCTGCAGCTAAATGATTTTTTAATTTTTGGCAGCACATATTGTACATATGTTCTTGTCACTTCAACTGAACACTGGAGTAAGAACTCAGAACAGAAACTTTGTTCCATTCATGTGAATAGCAGAATATTTTCCATGTGTCCTTCTCAAAAAATTGTTTGTTCAAAACAAATCATTACAACAAGGAAAATTAAACCGGTATAATGCAATTCAGTCAGCACAGCAACATGTAGGCTTTTCTGCTCTAATGTGTTAAGTGTCTTGGAAAAACTTCGCGTTCAACAAAACGTGCACTAAATGACAGGGCAAATAGAGGACAGGCCATTCAAATGCCTCTAGCTGCAGCCACAGCCCGAACAAAAATGATAATTGGTACATAGAAAAATAACGTGGCTCTCCTGCCCGGCAGCTCCCGTGTAGTTGAAGGTTGCCACACCAAGCATTTAAAAGTCTTAGAAGTGTCAAACTCATAGAAGCAGAGAGGGGGCCGGGCGCGGTGGCTCAAGCCTGTAATCCCAGCACTTTGGGAGGCCGAGACGGGCGGATCACGAGGTCAGGAGATCGAGATCATCCTGGCTAACCCGGTGAAACCCCGTCTCTACTAAAAACACAAAAAACTAGCCGGGCGAGGTGGCGGGCGCCTGTAGTCCCAGCTACTCGGGAGGCTGAGGCAGGAGAATGGCGTAAACCCGGGAGGCGGAGCTTGCAGTGAGCTGAGATCCGGCCACTGCACTCCAGCCCGGGCGACAGAGCAAGACTCCGTCTCAAAAAAAAAAAAAAAAAAAAAAAAAGAAGCAGAGAGTAGAGTGGTGGTTACCAGGGGGTGAGGGGTAAGGGGGCAGTGAGGAGATGTTGGAAAAGGGTAGGAAGTTTCAGTTAGGAGGAGTAAGCTTTACAGTGCCATTGCACGGCAGGGTGACCATAGTTACTATTGATGTATAGTTCCAAATTGCTAAAGATAAATTTCAAATGCGTCGCCAGAAAAAAATGACCAGTAAAAGTGAGGAGGCGGATATAGTAATTCGCTTGGTTTAATCATCCTGCCTTGTGCCCTTAGATGAGAACATCACATCGTACCCCAGAAATAGATACAATTATGAAGAAAGAAATGATTTTAAAAATAGCAAAAACTACAAGTTGTTTTAACATGGACAAATAAAAATTCTCAGAGGAGTTAGAGGCTGTATGCTGGCAACGCTTTTGCTGGAGCAGGGCAGGTGAGAACTAGACAGTGCAGGCAGAGGAGCTGCTGGGGCTTCTCTTAGGGCGGGCTCGTGAGTGCAGAGTGCCAAGGGTGGGCCTCGCTTTTCTCCCCTGGGGAAGGATTTCTGTGCAAGTGCTCACATTTAATTTTTTTTTATAATAAATCCAAAAGGGATCCTCCTGCCCATGTAACTGCAAAGCTGAGGGTTTGGTATTTTTTATCCCCCGCTGAAAGTTATACTTATCTTCCTACTATTTCTCTCCTGTTGCCAAGAAAGAGTATGTCTAAATTATATTTGCATCATTCCTCTAGTTATCAATAGTGTATGAGCTCAGTTGCCATACAGAAGCATATGTAGTAGCTAAACAGATTGTTGATTAAAATAACTTTTTCTGATTATAAATGTAATTTGCCCTTACTAGAAATCTGGCAAATATAGAAAGGTACACAGAATGAAATTAATGTTGGCTTACAATAACTCACTGTTTTAAGGAAACAGTGATTTATTTCCCTCTGGCCTCTTTTCTATACACATATTTATAAAATTGGGTTATACTGTGGATGCACATTTGTATCCTTGGTACTTATTTATATTCTGCATTTTTCCATTTTGTTAAATACAAGTCAAATTTTTGAACTATCATTGAATAAAACCTCTACTTTTGGATAATAAATTTATTTTAAATTATGATAATAAACACTGTCTTTAATTCCTTAGGCTGGGTTGCTAAGGAGGAAATCATTGAGTCAATGCATGCAGACACCCCTTTTAAAAAATAATCTGAAGATAGTAAACTTTTATTTGTTGTGATTTTTTAGAACATAAGAACCTTAATATAATAAAAATAGCCAACAGTAAGCTTGGCGTATTGTCCCTTCTTTACCAGGGGTATATCACTTATGAAAATGGTAGTATGTCAAAAAGTATATTTTGCTCACTACTAGGTGTTGGCCCTTGTAAGGGATTTGGTAATCAGGTAAACACCTATCTGGTAGGCAGTTCATATTCAGCACCTCCTTGATGATCAGCAGGTCTAGTACACGCCATACCGCCATACCTGTATCATGTATACAGGCTAAACCAAGTATCAAAAAGTGGACATCAATCTTGCCTTTTCAACTCAACTATAATTCTCCTGTATACAATTTTCTGCCTTTCTCCTCACCTGCCCTGTGTCCCTCTAGTCTGTCTTATCCTTGACCTCATGATTATGTCTGGCAATGACTCTGCTTTAAAGTTGACACCCATCCCTAGTTCAGGCTCCTTTACGACATCAGAACCTCCTGTGGGACTTCTAAGGTAATTTGGGTAAAGAGAGGAAGCAGAGTCCTCTGGGATACATCCTTCTGATTCTGAGGTCCCTTGTGTATAAACACGTGCAGAATGGTTGAAAGTACAGACCGTAGAGTAAGAAATGCCTGGATCGGAGTCCTTGCTCTGCTTTCTTGAGCAATAAGTGCTTGGTGTTGGGAGCTCATGGTGGTTGTGGTAGCTGTAGTAACAGCAGCAGCAGCAGCAGCAGTTGGGTACACTCAAACAATTGATCTTGATTGGTTTTCAAAGATAACAGGTAGCTTAGCATCTTTTTGAGAGGAACTGTAAAAGCAATTTGGTGGTGTCATATCTCAAATGTAATGAAAATAAACTAATATTCAATACAGAAGATTTGGTTTCTTTCCATTGCAGTTTCTAAGTAAAGTGAACTAATGGGAGTTCTGAAGAAATTGCTTCTGTCAAACCTTGGGATATTTATGAGGGAAACCAAGCGAATCCAATAAAGTAGAGGCAGATGGATGTACTAACAATCTAACCAGCAACTTTTTTTAAGATGGAGTCTCACTGTTGTCACCCAGGCTGGAGTGCAATGGCACGATCTTGGCTCATTGCAACCTCCGCCTCCCAGGTTCCATCAATTCTCCTGCCTCAGCCTCCCGAGTAGCTGAGATTACAGGTGCCTACCACCATGCCCGGCTACTTTTTGTGTGTGTGTGTGTTTTTAGTAGAGATGGGGGTTTCGCCATGTTGGCCAGGCTGGTCTGGAACTCCTGACCTCAGGTGATCCACCTGCCTTGGCCTCCCAAAATGCTGGGATTACAGGCGTGAACCACCGCGCCCCGCCACCAGCAACTATTAAACCAGTGTCACAGGAGACTTCATTGAAGACAAGAAAGGGCTACTTCCAGTTCTGATATGTTTTAAAGAACAGAAAGTGATTCACAGTGACTGGAAAGCTGACTTTCTTCTTCTCTTTTCAGCCAGCATATGTCCCAAGGAAGCTAATTCCAATAACAATCATCAAGCAAGGTAATTTGTCTGCTCTGGAAATGTGTTTAGAGCAATCTTTAATATACTTTTAGCTAAGGTAATCAAACACAGCACAAATTTTCTCAAATTTTTTATTGATTTTTTTTTTTTTTTTTTTTTTTTTAGAAAAAGCTCAAAGAAAACATAATGGTCTAGTAAATTGGAAGTTAATGGATAATTTTGGCTCTTTTACCAATACGCCAAGCCTTGGGTTGGTCACACTGGTCAGACAACTAAGGACAAAGCAACCATCACAAGTATTAAATTTTTTAAAACAAGTGAAATATGTGGAGCTTTGCCCAGGATTAAGTTGTCATACCCGAAGAAATCCACTGATAGGATATTTTCATGAATGAAAATGAAAGCTGATTTAGTGGTCACTTTAAGGAAAGTAAAGACTTCCAGGTTTCCAGAATTATAATGCCATTTCACTTCAGTATCTGATTGTTTTTGTTTTGGCTTCTGGTTTTTCAAATTATTAAAATCTATTATTTCCAGAAAGCTTCTTGGTAGAAGGGACAGAGCCCTTAAAAAAATAGTTCTTCATTTTCAGAAAACAACATCCCAAGTGTATTCTCAAAACAGAGTCAGTGTTGATATTACTCAAAGACTCTGCTTTGAGAAAATAAGTTTTCTAAACTTTTGTTGCTGGGTCGTCACCTCATTTTGTACTAGTACTGATTGATTTGGGGAAAAGGAAGGCTTCAGAGAATAGAGTTAGGAAGAAAATTTTCCAGTAATTAGAAAGGAACACCTTATGATAGAATAATAGCCTTTCATTAGTTAAAGGCACAGGTGTTAAGGTAAGGTATGCCTTCCAACCCTTCTGTTGGCTACATAGCCAGCCCACTGAGTTGCTTTGTATTAATAAAGTTAGATCAAGGCTTTTCCAGCGCAGATGACTTCACATTACTAGCTTCTTACTGCCTCGTATTTCCCACCCCCTCACACAGTCTTTTTGTATTTCAACAGTGATTCAGAATGTTACTCACAAGGATTCAACTAAATCCCCAGAAAAAGCTCCCTTGGGAGGAGTGATACTAGGTGAGTGGATCTTGAAATCTATGCCTAGATTAAGCAAATCGGGCTATCTTTTGAGAATAGGGCTTTTCTGGAGTTTTGCAGTGTGAGTAGTTCTGTTTAATTGGTGTGGTTCACTTCCTTTCACTGTTTAGCATCCTGGCTGGTGTCCATTCCAGGCTAGGAGCCAAGCCACGCTATCTTTATCATGGTGTGTTAAAGAGATAGCTCTAGCACGTGTGCAGTGGGAATGATGGCACCTGTCCTACCTGCCCCACAGAGTGGACCAAACTGCTCTTTTAAAAATCATTATTATTGATAATGATCATTGTTCACCACACATCTTAAGCAGCCATTTTACAATTTTGAGTCTATGGATTAAAAGCCAGAGGATTTTAGTAGTTAGGTTAAATATGAAAAACATTCTATTTAAAATGTATGGTCATATTTTTTCCAATGTTTTAAAGTTTGGGTTAAAATTTACTAAGCAAAATAAGTGCTACGCTTCATAGTTTGTGGTATCTGATATGCTGAGCTTCATTTTATGTCATGATGCACTTTCTTCCCCTTATCTTATTTACATCTATTTTCTTGCAGTCCATCTTATTATTCCAGGTCTTAATGAAACTACTGTAAAACTTCCTGCATCCCTAATGTTTGAGATTTCAGATGCACTCAAGACACAATTAGGTAAGCAAAAAAGTTTTGTATTTAAACTTTGCAATGACTGGGTACTAGCACGATATTCTTAGTAGATCCAAAGAATCTTGCAAATGAGCTGTTTGAGGATCTAAAAGTAAAAAAGTGGAGGTAAGGAGGTTGGAGTGTTGGAGGTACTCATTATAAATAACATTCCATAAGAAAATAGTTATTTTACATGTACATATTTATATAAGGTATATTTATATGTATGAAATAAGAGTGAATGTTTATGAAATTCTTCAAAATATAAATATATATGTATAATTTTCTATTAAAGTAATTCTAAATTATACTTACTATAATATTAAGGGGCGACTAGGTATTTTCAATGAGAATTGATGTGACATTCAGGTTCATTAGAATTATTATTTACTTGAGATTGATATTGCTTCCTATTTCTAGAAAGAACCGGTTATGAGTTCAGTGTTTAAAAAACCTTAAAACATAACAGTAAAAGAAAAAAACGGAAAATCCACTTAAAAAGGGGCCAGGGAATAAATGTGGAGGTCACTGGGCTGAGTTGGTTGCTGCATTTGAGTATCAAATTAGGCTCTCAATTGTCTCTTAGCAGAGAATCTCAACCTTGATCAAACATCAGGAGCACCTGGAGGGCTTAACACCAAGACTGCTGCACCGCCCCCCCCCCCCCCACCCACCCACCTCCAGAATTACTGATTCAGTAGGTCCAGAATTTGCATTTCTGACAAGTTTCCAGGTGATACTGACACTGCTGGTATAGGAACCACACTTTGAGAAGTACCCCTCCAATGTTTCTAGAGAATGCCTTGGGCTGTTAATAAATTTGGAAGAAATAGTGCAGTAGAAATTGAACAAGCCTTAAGAATACAGAATGTATTCCCTGAGCTAGGCACTGGCTATGAACTTTAATGTTTAATATATGATTGAATCCAGCACATTGTATGGATAAAGAAACGGAGGCCCAAGCCCCTGTTTGGCAACATTCATTCAACAAATACTATGCGTTACCCTATGTCAGAACCACAAGTTGCTGGGGGCTATGATGGTGAATTACCCAGACATGGCACCTGTTCATTCTGGGACCTCAGATAAGGCACTTACTTTCTCCTCCCTTACTGGGGACCTTACCTGTCCCTTTCTGTTGATATTTCCTCTTTTTTGGCTTTGAGAGAGAGAGAGGAAATGATAAATAAGATATAACCCGAACATTTTTTAATTCAATAAAATACCGTGAAACATGACAATAGGCTGGGGTCCTAGGTGGGCAGAACCTCTGGTCAGGCCGGGGCTTGGTGTGATCTCTCTCTTATCAAGAGCATGCATCCTGTGGGAACAAGCCCTTGATGTTCCTGACAAGTAGCTGCTGGTACAGTGCGGATCCCACAAGCCAATAACTCATTTCCTTTTTCCCCCTTTCCCTCCCTGTCCTGGAGATTTATTGGGGGAAAAAAGACATCATATCTAATGAGGCATTAAATGTTGATGTATTTTTCTTGTTTCCAATTTTCTTCTTTAGGGAATAGGGCCATGTAGAGATGTTTAGAAGTTTCATCCACATAATGTCAAGCTACTTAATTTTTTTAAAAAACCTGAAAAGAAATTGGTATCTCTTCATGTGTTTTTCAAATATCCAGACATTTAACTTTGCATAAATAGTGTTACCTGAAAGTTTAAGTTAACTTTTTTCATTTTTTGCTTGTCTGATCTGAGGCAATCCAGTTATAAGTTTGGAAAAATTTCCAAAACTTATGGTTCAACATCTTAGTAAGATATGAAAATATTTGCCAATATATCTTTGTGATATTGTGCAATCCTTATATTTTTCTTTTAAAATGGTCATATCTAGTAGTCCTAGAGTGAGTTACTTCCCAGAAAATAGGTAAGTAACTCTGGACTTCATTTTCTTAATTTGTACATCAGACTTGATCACCTCCCTTTAGCTATAAAACCCTGTGACCCAACCCTACATCATGTAAATGTGGTGCTGCCAGGATGCTTCCAAATTAAGTTCCCTCAGTGAATCTGTGTTTGGAAGAGTTAAAGCTCGGGACTCTTGCATTCTCCTGTTCTCTGCCCAGAGACTGTATCTTTTGTAATCTCTTATTGATTTGGTCCCTAGTGTGTCCATCAAAACTACAGAAAGCAGGGTTTGTGAAGGAGACAGAAAATGAGCAGGGGCGTTTCTCAGACCATTGCTGTCAGTTTTGAACTGGAAGATGTCATGGTCTGTTACTCAGTGCTTAGTCTTGAGTGATGTTTCCTAATCTTTTAAAAACTGTTTTAAAGTCCTGCATGCTACCATAATACCAATTTAGCATTTCTGCTTTCTTTAAGGAATTAAAGGGAATTTTTGTCTTGTGATTTTAGTTTTGCTTTTCTGATATGATTCACTAAAAGTCCAGAATTAAGTATGATTTTAATACAGAAAATTAAATACAAATAGTAAAATGCAAATAATTAAAACTATGAAAATAGTAAATATGTTTTTAAACTTGGCTTTTGAGGGAAATGCCTATCTTAAATTGAATACATGGGGCAAGATGGGGTGGTTCATGCCTGTAACCCCAGCACTTGGGGAGGCTGAAGCCAGGGAATCATTTGTGACTTAGCAATGCAAGACAAGCATAGGTAATCTAGCAAGACCCTATCTTTAAAAAAATATTAAAATAAATAGCCAGGCATGATGGCACATGCCTATAGTCCTGACTACTCAGAAGGCTGAGGCAGGAGGATCACTTAAGTCCGTGAGTTTGAGATTTCAGTGAGCTCTGATTGCACCACTGTACTCCAGCCTGGGCAACAGAGCAAGACCTGGTCTCTTAAAGTATTGATGCTAATGATAACAGATAGAACACATAGAAAATTTAACACGTGGAGAATTTCTTACACACCGTATTAGTCCATTTTCACACTGCTGGTAAAGACATACCCGAGACTGAGCAATTTACAAAGAGGTTTAATAGGACTTACAGTTTCACATGGCTGGAGAAGCCTCACATTTATGATGGAAAGCAAGGAGGAGCAAGTCATGTCTTACATGGATGGCAGCAGGCAAAGAGAGAGAGAGCTTGTGCAGGCAAATTCCCGTTTTTAAAGCCATCAGATCTCATGAGTCTTATTCACTATCACGAGAATAGCATGGGAAAGACCTGCACCCATGATTCAATCACCTCCCACCAGGGCCCCTCCCACAACATGTGGGAATTCAAGATGAGATTTGGGTGGGGACACAGCCAATCTATATGACACAGTGAAGAGACTGATAGCCAGTATGTTTGAAAATGTCCAATAAATCAAAGCAGAATCCTATCCAACAAATGTACCAACTTAGTAGACCATGTTTCTTTAAAAAAAACTACATATAAAAATTTTTTAAATGTTTTATTGTATATGCTTCAAGCAGGCCACATGAAGTTTTCTTATATGTATATATAGTGAAATAGTTCCTATACTCAAGCAAATTAATATCCATCTTGCATAGTTACCGTTTGTGTATGTGGTAAGAGTACCAAAAAATTTTCCAATATACAATATTATAATTATAGTTCTTGTTTTCTACATTAGATTTATAGTCTTATTCATCCTATGCATCTGCAACTTTTTACCCTCTGTTCTACATTTCTCTGTTTCCCCCTCTCCATCCCATCCCTCATAAACAGTTTTATTCTCTATATATGTGACTTTTTTCAGATTCCACATGAGTGAAATCATGCAGTGTTTTTCTTTCTGTGCTTGGCTTATTTCATTTAGCATAATATCCTCCAGGTTTATCCATGTTATTGCAAATGACAGGACCTCTTTTTTTAAGGCTGAATAATACTCCAGTGTGTGTGTACCATGATTTCTTTATACATTCATCCATGAACATTTAAGTCATTTCCATACCTTGGTTGTTGTGAACAATGCTGGAGTGAATGTGGGACTACATGTATCTCTATGAGGTGCTGATTTCATTTCCTTTGGATGTATGTCCAGAAGAGGGATTGCTGAGTCATAAGGTAGTTCTTTTTTAATTTTTTGAGGAAACTTCATACCATTTTCTTTAATAGCTGGACCAATTTACATTTCTATCCCAACAGTAAACAAGAATTTCCTTTTCTCCACACCCTTGCCAACACCTATCTTTTACTGTTTTGCTTAATATCCATCCTAACAGAAGTGAGGGTGATATCTCAGTGGGGTCTTAATTTTGCATTTCCCTGATGATCAGTGACGTTGAGCACTTTTTTTATGCCTGTTAACCATTTTTATGTCTTCTTTAGAGAAATGTCTATTCAGGTCCTTTGCCCATGTTTTAATTAGGTTATTTGGGGTTGAGGGTGGTTGTGTTATTTTGTTTCGCTATTTTGTGTAAGTTCCTTATATACTTTGGATCTTAACCCTTTATCAGATACATGTGGTTTGCAAATATTTTCTCTCAATGCATAGGCTGCCTTTTCATTTTGTTTATTGCTTTCTTTGCTGCACAGCAGCACTGTTTTGTGCAAAGTGTAGGCATAAACCATCCTTTATGTCATGAAGGGAGAAATAAACTTCCCTAAAGTTAATTATCACTGCAACTCAGAAAAGCTGTATTTTTGAGGTAGTAAATCCTAAAAACAACATCCTCATTCCAGCAGAGCTCATAATGGGACATCAAGAAGTATAATAGCTTGTTCTAACAACACATGGTGTGAATAATGAGAGATATAAACAAAAAATTAGGATTACACACACATCCCTAAGGGACATACAAAGGGTTTGCCAAAGTCAAGACCTAGCCTGCCAAAAATTAAAGGAAACAACTGTGATGGAAAAATGTACAGAAGAAATAGAGGAAAAGGAATTTCCTGGGTTTTCGGCTGTGTTCTGATTGCATTTTACTTTCCTATTGCCAAGATTGCAGTTGTGCATCAGATAGGGTGAGTGAATGCTCAGGGGTTGATCTATCAAGAGTTCCCCATTCAAATATCCTGCCCATCTACTAAGTTATCTGATGTCTAAAATATCATTTATAGATATACAGTATGGCCTGGTGCCGTGGCTCCCACTTGTAATCCCAGCACTTTGGGAGGCTGAGGCAGGAGGATCACTTGAGCTCAAGAGTTCAAGACCAGCCTGGCAACATAGTGAGATCCCATTTTTACAAAATAATAATAGTAATAAGCTAGGTGCTGTGGCACGTGCTTGTAGTTCCAGCTACTACTAGGGAGGCAGAAGCAAGAGAATTGTTTCACTTGAGCCCAGGAGTTTGAAGTTTGAGGCTGCAATAAGCTATTATCATGCTACTGCACTCCAGCCTGGGTAACAGAATGAGACCCTGCCAAAAAAAAAAAAAAGGAAGAAGAAAAAACAACATGCCTATAAAAGGAATTAGTAATATATAAAGAATACAAATGTCTCTTAGGAAGGGGTAGTTTGCCTTTTTTCCTTAGCAGCCTGATTTTAGGCTAATGTGATTGCCAGCTAAGAACATGTTTTGAATAAAGAAATTGAGAGCATTGCCTGTGAAAGTCTAGGATCTGGATGATTAAACAAACAAATAATAAGAGATCCTAGGTCAGCCAGGGACTCACTGAGAACATGGGATATTCTTAATCAGGAAGGAGGCCTGGAAGGAGAAGAGGACACTGAAAGACAAGAGATCGTGAAAGGAAACCTTGTAATTTTACATTTTAATAAACTTCCTATGGTGCATGTTGAAAGTAATAGGAACAGAGTGCTTGAAAAATTCATGATCTGAATGTTTTTTCTGTGTTGACAATCAGAATTGTTCACACAAAAGATGTCAGGAAAATTGATAAAATTTAGACGTTTTAAAAATAGAATTTATAAAATTATGCTAGATTTTTTAAAAATTCCTTTTTATGCCTTGCTAAATCAATTTGAACAATGCTATTAAATATTTTGTTGTGCAAACATGCTTTGCAACTTCAGAAACACACAATTTGTTGCAAATTATCATTTATGACACTTATTGGTGGCATTTTAAATCACTCCTGAGAATCAGCTATCTAGAAATCTGTTGTATGCCTTTATCAAGTAGAGATTGAAAACTGATTTGCTTCTATAAACATTGGGGAAAAGATGACTTTCTAATTGTCTTCAAGCTCATCAGAATTAAATAAATATTTTTGAACCCACATTAACAGAAAAGAAAATGGTCTTTACAAAAATAAAGTGAACTACAGATTATAAAATGAATGTTCAAAGAATTTTGAGTGTGACAATTAAAGGTTTCAGCAGGGAGCAATTTTGTCCCTTAGGGAATATTTAGAATTGCCTGGAGATACTTTTGGTTGGTAGAACGGTATCTGCGGAGCACAAAATATTCCAAAAGTTTGTGAGAGCACTGTTGGAATCCAATGGGTAGAAGTCAAGAATACTGTTCAACATCCTACAGTATACAGGCCAGCCACCTATACAAAAAATAATCTAGCCTCAAATATCAATAGTGCCAAAGTTGAGAAATCTAAGTTCTATATAGCCTTAGGACTCTGAAAAATCCTGTCGAATTATATAATCGGTTCAAGGTGGCATGATCAGGGTATCCCAAAGGGGCATACATTCTTTCATGCCACTAGACTGTTTCAAAATATTATGAGCAGGTAATATTATGATTCAACATGGAAAATAACTGAAGAGAATTAATCCTAATTATACCCTTTCAAATGGGGAATACCATAATTGCTGGGGAACACAGCCTTAGAAATGTTACTTTTCTTTCTTTGAAAAAGAACATCCACATTTTAAAAGGAAGTTTCTCAAATAGTTGCATAAAGAGGAAAATTGGAAAAAAAAATTTTATTCTTTGTACTGAATTCCCATAGAGATTAAAAGAGAAGATCTACATCAATATGAGGCTCAAATACAATTTACTGTTTAATTTTTTGCCACAAATATTTTCAAATAGCTTAATTTCCTATGTGTGTTGTTTGTGGTTTTCTAAAATCTCAATGTCATAACTTATTACATTTTTTACCATGCATAATAATGGAAATGTTCTATAGATTAATTTTTTAAAATTGGGAGTACCTGAATATAAAATTCCAGGAAGCATTTGCAATGCAACCTATGCCTTCCAGAAATTCTGTTTATCAATCAGATGACTTGAGATGTATCCAAATATTGGGTTGTGATTTTTTTTCCTTCACGTCAATGACAATTTAGATCTTAAAGAATTATCTAGGGTTAATAAGAAAGAATTTTGAAGACTTATATTAGTTCCTGCTAGAGACACACAATAAAGTTGTTGACTGGCTGGTGGGGAAGGAAGTGCAAGATTAGATTTTTAGTCTGCTACTTGATTATGCATTGAGGGACGTATTTTTGGACACTGCAAATGAGGTAAATTGTTTGTTCTTTGACTTTTTAGCTAAGAATGAAACCTTGGCATTACCTGCCAAATCTAAAACACCAGAGGTTGAAAAAATCTCAGCACGATCCACGACAGGTAATGAGATTGCTATGTTGTTGACCTTGAGAAAAGAAAAAAATGCTTTTTTTTTCAAATACTAATCTGCAGCCTTTTTTTTCAGTAAAGAGCCAGTAGGAAATTCATTTTGATCATAAATGCAAAACAGTAGGAGATTCCATGTCTCTAACGTTTGGGAAAACAACAGCTGCAAAATGAACTATTGAATCACATAACTGATAAGTAATACAGAAGCTGTATTTTTTACTCTGAATGAAAATTATTAGTTCAACACTGAAATATTTTTATATTAAAACATCATACCACAAGTTTGGTGCTGTCCTTGTGTATGATGACATGAGACCATTTTTCATTTCTACACTTTCACAAGGGGTCCGTGTAGCAAAATGCCGTATATTCTTCACAAATCCATAGTTTAATATCTATGAAAATACTTGAATCATTTAGAAACAAATGTCTCTGGAACTTTAGCAATCCTAGTGTAGAGAATATAGAATAGTTCAGTAACAACCCTTTAAAGAATTAATGCAGTAAGCGTTTTCTCCATAGTTTATCACCATTACTAACATTCAGCATTTCTTCTATGAAAGAACTACTCAAGTCCAGTCTGGCGGCGGGGCGCATTAATCTTTGAGCTAGAGTTTTTTCCAGAGTAGTACCACCTTATCCAGGACTTGAAACAGACATCTGGTAAGAATTCCCCACAATCTATATTTAGCAGAGTAACTCCAATCTGAAGTGAATTTTTCAGTCCACAAAATTCTATAACTTGAAATATTGATGATACACATTTTACTAAACTTTTGGACTCATAACTGTTCCAGAGAAGATAAAAGTTGTTGTGGCAGTGAAATAACTTCAAGAAATCCTTTGAAGTAGGAATATTTCTGAGAGAGCAAGATGAATATGGTCCTTTTCTAAAGAAGACAGATGGACCTTTCATCCCCACCTTCATGGGATTTGGAGCAGAGGTAGCTCCTGGAGTGACCCATTTGGATGAAATTCCTAGATGGTTTCTGACTTCAGTATATGTGATCAATATCCAGAAAAGCATAAGCATGGCCCAGTGGGTGACTCCAAGTCCCTTTCTCCCTCAAAGATTCTACCCACTTTCCCCAATTATACTTTTTTCTCTTGGCAGCATTTCTGATGGGAGAGTCTACATTTTTTTAGTCCTCTGCCAAACCCTCCTCAGAGTTTTCCACTTCAGAAACACTTAGGAAAACACCACAACTTATTACTCAGGGTTATTGTGTTTATTTTGTGTTCTTGCCCTGCAACATTCTGGGGGTTTCTGGCTCTCAATTCATTTCAGATCCCAGTGATCTTAGTTCTTATTTCTCCAAAACTATTTAATTGAGCTTTTTATTACCTTTAATCTAGCATTTGGGACAAACCTGTGGTGGAGGATTTAAATTCTGATCATAATTTCAATTCATTTTCAAGCTTTGCATGTTCATTGCAGTGTAAGAGTGAAGTCTTGTAATGTGATAGCTCTAAGTAAGACTTTTAGCCCCGAGTCATCCTGTTATTTGCCCATTTATTCATTTAACAAACTGTTATCTTGATTATCCTTCAGATTCTTCAATACATGATTTAAAAAATAATAAACTATTATCATGTGCTTGTTTACTATACCCCAGGTATTCTGCTAAGCCCTGGAGATAAAGAAAAAGGCAGATTTAAAATTATGATTAAGCTTATAAGTGCTTCAATGAAAGTCAGGTCAGAGTGCTTTTTTGGATAGAAAGCAAACCCAGAAAGGACGAGTTGGAGAGGAGTGTCAGCTCAGGCACTTGAGACAAGTCAAGGAGCTCTTTACATAGTAACACAAAAAGAAATGGGCTTTCCAATATCGGTTACTTATTCTAAAAGGCAACAAAATGTGTCTCCTGGTCTTTGGTTGCTTCACTTTATCTTAATTTGTAAAGTTGTGCTTTTTACCTTTCAGAGACTCCTGAAACAGTTCCAAGAACCACTAAACCCACTACGTCTAGTGCATTAGATGTTTCAGAAACAACACTGGGTAATTCTAAGAACTTTTTTTTGTTGTTGTTAAAAAAAAAAAAAAATAATAACAAGAAAATAACTCCCAGGACTCACAGAAAAGAAACCTGACGCCTTAACTTCTCTCTCTCTCCCCACTTTCTCCTTTTCCTTCCTTCCTGGCAGTGGTTAACCTTCCTATTTCTTGGACAGATTCCACTGAAGAGTTAACCACATGGCTGATCCTGGTGACTGGCCTTCTGGACAAATCTGGATGCTAATTGCTAACTGAACGCCCTTTTTAACCAGTCTCTGGGTTATATAGACAGAATACTAGCCTTTTAACCCCCAAATCTGGGGGGAGAATGAAGGAAACCTGGAAGTCTTGATTCTGTGCTTTCTGCTTAAATTGGCTTTGGGAAGTCTTGTGCATACTAAATTTGGGGTGACTCCCCAAAAGTGTCATGCTTTTAAATAAGAATTTCATGCCACCCATGTTTGATGTTTCTTAGCCCAAGAGAATCTAACTTGCTTTGTTGTTCTCTTTCCCCTGAAGAAAAGGAGCAGCGTGTGTCTTGTTCTGTAATTTGATGCTGATCTTCTCTGCCACACCACTGCCCTTCGAATGTATACCTTGACATTTTAACAGCTATGTAACTTTACCAGGGAATGTTGTAATTTCCATTAAAGGTATTGGCTGCTCTGTGTACAAGAGTCTGTTACAAAGCTTGCTGTGCATGATCATGGTTAAGCCACAATATCAAATCCCAAGTCCAGGAGTTGCTAACTGCCCTCTTTTTTATTGTAGTTGTCAGCAAAAGGACCCCGGAAACATTGCAAACCGTTCTAATACCTCAGTTTGAATTGCCACTGAGCACTCTAGGTAAAAATTGATAAATACTGCAGCTTTATTATTACCTTGGATATCGTATGCATGCTTCAAAGAAATCCTGGGAATTAATGACGCTAATTTATACCCAATCCCTTAAAGGTGACACAGTCTTCAAGTTTAGGATCCCAAAGAGGCTCTCCCTATGATGAATCGTTCTGGTTGGGTTGTTTTTCTTTTAAGTGATCGTATTTTAATATTATGTTTGATTCTTTTAATTCAGAATCAATATGTCACTGAACAAATTGATAATTTCTGTATTTTTTGTAAATGTTTTTACTCTCGTCACTCTTAACAGAGAAGATATATTTATGATATTTCTGCAGACTACTTCTTAGAATTCTTAGAATTTTTCTGAGTGAATTATGAAAAAAAATGAGAGTGGAGAGTGGGGTGCAGTGGCTCACGCCTGTAATCCCACCACTTTGGGAGGCTGAGACGGGTGGATTGCCTGAGGTCAGTAGTTCGAGACCACCCTGGCCAACATGGTGAAACCCTGTCTCTACTAAAAATACAAAAATTGGCCTGGCATGGTGGCACGCACCTGTAATCCCAGGTACTCAGGAGGCTGAGACAGGAGAATTGCTTGAACCCGGGAGGTGGAGGTTGCAGTGAGCCAAGATCATGCCATGCACTGCAACCTGGGTGACAGAGCAAGTCTCCATCTCAAAAAAAAAAAAAAAAAAGATGGGGGAGGAGCTTACATATAAAGCCACGTAGTTACTGAAATTCTATTTTTAAAAGCTTTCAGATGGACATTTTCTAGTTCAGAGGTGTTGGCTTGATTTAAATGTAAATGAAATATATTTAAGAACACACACAAACATCGCTGAAGAAATCAGGAAACTGGTTTAATAAAGGTGGAAAAAAAGATTCCAAATACAGTAGCTTAAGTTTAGTCACCTAACTATAAAAAATTGAAAAAGAAACTTTATTACATTATTCAACATTGAAACAGAGATGTAAGAAATACTGCTAATGGTCTCTTAACATGATTTGCCTTTTCGCGTTTGCTGTTGTTTTTCAAGCTTAACATTTTAAAAATCTTTGTTACTTGCATCTCAGGTCGTCTAACTTTCCTTCTGTGTTTCATTACAGCTCCAAAAAGGCTTCCAGAATTTCCTGAGGCAAAAACACCCTTCCCTTTTGAGAAACCTGGGGGCACATGGGGTAATAAGGGCACCTTAAATTAAATATTAAGGCTGTGGGTGGTGATTGCTTAATTTTGCAGGACACATGTACTGCATCTTATTTCTACAAACCTCATGAACTGATAGGCAAACAAGTGGTTGATTTGATTTGTTTTTAATAAATCTATTTGTTTGGATTTTCGACAAATTCGGTAAAATCCATCAGTCTTAATTCCACATAATCCACTTAGTGTTTTGTCCTTAAAAATGTTGACAGTCTGACACCAAACTCTGGTCTCTCTCTGACCACTAATCAAATGTTCTCTGGATGGATACGTACTGATTTCTTACTGATATATAATGACTTTTTATTGTATTAGTATATTATAGGCTTCTGGTAGCCACTTAACCATACCAGCAACCTATTTCTGTCTTGTTCTCCTCAAAAAAACAAAAAAATCTTCAGCAAATTCCATTTCTTTTCAATATAGCTTCAAGTGAAAAGCCATGGACTGTGCCTACAGCTAAAACATCAGAAGATTCCAAAGTTCTGCAGCCTCAAACTGGTAATTAAATCCTTTTCTTAAAAAATCGATTATAACAAGGAATATTAAGTAACTTACTGTTTTTATTTTTATGGGTTCCTTAATTGATTATCAGTGTGCTTTGTAGTAAATGGAAAACCTATAATACATTTGTTGATACTGAGATGAATCTCATTTTTCCCTATTACAAAAGCAAAACGGTTTTGAATGTTTTAAAGATACCTGTTCTAATTTCTGGATATAATATCTTAGAAATGTGGCCAGAACATGAACTGGCTCATTAATAGAGATCTCTTTAGCGACATGAAAGCAGTACCAAAATAAGAAGCATCAGCGTAGGTCTAATTTAACAATACGAGTTTCATATTCTCTTGCAGGGAATATTTGCTGCTTTTGGGCAACATAAACAAACATTTAAGAGCTTACTATGTGAAGATAGTATACTAAGTTCTCAAATTTGTAAGTACAGCATGATATGTAGGAGAGACCACAGGCCCTTGCGGTTAATAATAGGCCTTGGTTCCAGGCCTCACTCTTCTAATAACCATGTGATGGCTACTTTTCTCTACTTTTGGAAGGCATTGGTTTCCTCTTTTGCAAACTGTAGCAATTGGCTTTATTTTTCCTGTTGAGAATTCTTGTGTTCCACCGCTAAAATTGATTGAGATATGTTTCTTTTACAAAAAATATTTTTCTCTTTTAAAAAATTCTGTACATCTTTTGATGCCTAGCAGTCAACTAAAGAGTGTATTCAGCATATAAGAATTATAAGAAGACCTCAGAAACCATCCTTTGTGATTACTTCCATGATTTTTGCGTTTTGCTTGTTTGTATTTTAATTTTTGAAAATCTTCTAGTTGTTTTGACTTTATTTGGGGTACATATCATATAGTGTATAATGAAGTTGGATGTTTCATGTAATGAACTTAAATGCAGCAGCATTTTGTGGTGTTCTCCAGAGTCCAGCAGAGGACTGAGTTTGAGAAAGGATGAGCATGAGCCCTCATAGATCTTGGTGAAATTATCCTTTCTCTAGTATATGTAATGGGCTCAGATATTAGCAAAAGATAGAAGATGAGGTCCAATTAAGGGACTATGTCTATTATAATTGCCCCTAGTTTCCTTAAGTGGGAACACACTTGAAAGTTGGCCATGGTTGTTCGCTTATCCAGAGAATCCTCAAGCTGTATCTTAGTCTTGGTTTTCCTAGTCACTGACTTTCAAATTCTAGTGCAGTTAACTAAGGTGGGTGCCAAAACCCCTTTAGGAATCCCGGTCACCTGGATTTAAAATCTGGGTTCTGAGTTGAATTTCATACTGAGCCTCTGGTTCCAGTAGCCATCACCCAGGTGTAGCTGCATTGTAATTATGATGCAACAACTAGTCAAGGGGCGTATGTGATGGTTTAACCTGCTGCACTGTGACAGCCCTGGGTGTGACTCCCACATCCCTCAAGAGCACCCGAGCCAAGTCCCTTTGGGGATTTGGGGACTAGATAAACTTTTAGATCCTTTTCATCTTTTAGCTTTTGGGTTATAACATGGGGAACATGGGATTCTTTTGGGTTTTCTTTTAAGCAACATCTAGTGTTTGGTTTCTATGAATATTCAAGAGCAAACTAACCAAAACATCAAGGAAACCATTTTTGAGACTTTAATGCCTGGCATATGAATTATATAGAAAGGCTTGAGTTGAACCAAGCATTGGGGAGTGGGGAGAATATGTTGGGACGTGAAAGTTACAGAGTTACAATGAGACAAAAATAGATGATACAGGAAATACCAATAAAAGAAAGGTTTCTTTTGCCTTTAATTCAAAAAAGGCATATTCTGGTTTTGCCCTGATGGAGTATGAGCAGCGGCTAATGCAGCAGGAAACTGACTATTCAGCTGCTTCACTACTGCCAGGGCAACCTTCGGCTGCCAGAGAACTTCCAACTGAGAACTCCCAACCCTCTCTAGACAAAGAATTGAGACTTGTCATAAACTGTAATCACAGTACAGTATGTGATTGCACGTATTAACATTGGCCCTAGAAACTTCCCATCCTGCCTTATAACAGTTAATTTTTGTGTCTTTGCTACTTAGCACGATCCTCAGTCCAACAGCATTTGGCATCACCCAGAAACTTGTTGAAAAGGCAGAACCTGGGCTCCACTCTAGATCTATTGAAACAAGATCTGCTTTCCAACAAGATGCCCAGGCGATATGAACATTAACATTTTTGTTTTTTGTTTTTTGTTTTGAGATGGAGTTTGGTCTTGTCGCCCAGGCTGGAGTGCAATGGTGCTATCTCGGCTCACTGCAACCTTTGCCCCCTGGGTTCAAACGATTCTCCTGCCTCAGCCCGCTGAGTAGCTGAGATTACAGGCACCTGCCACCATGCCTGGCTAATTTTTGTATTGAACATTAAAGTTTGAGAGGCACTAACTTATCGATGTAGTCTATAACGTTTTTACATGGTGCCGGTAAGAATCATCGGGTGTAGTCAGTTATAGCACCATGGACCTCAGATCGATACAAGATCGATTTTTCAAAGTGAGTAGTTAAGTATCTCTTGTTTCTGCTAATGTGCAACGCTTCCATTTCTAGTGTGAGTGTTCTGTGGCATCTTCCTAACTTATGTTAACTTTCAAATTAAAATTTTATAACACATGTATTTTCTGTGATTTAAAGAGTGGTATATTTATATAGGCCTTTTATTTCAGCCTTTGTTTCTTTTGATTTTGTGCAAATTTACTTGTGTACTAGCATTCTATTTCCCATTTAGTTTCAACATACATAACAGGTATTTTATTTTCCAATTACTCACACAGCTTCCTAAAGCAACTATTTTGAGAACTGAGAAAACAGACAGGTAGAGATAGTGTTTAAATGGTGGTCCACAAGATCCCGTTTTTAGTTGCAATATCTTTTGAAGGAACACTGTATAGGTTGGTGCAAACATAATTGCAGTTTTTGCCATCACTTCTAATGGTTTTGCCATTACTTTTAATGGCAAAAACCACAATTACATTTGTACCAACCTAATATTTTTAGCTGATATTAATGACATTATTACAGCCAAATGAGCACATTCTGTTTTCTCTGTTGGGGTATGATGCATCTATATTTACTATATCAATTCCTTTCAGCCAAAGACCAGCAGAACACACTTGTAGTTGAACAAATTTATGTCTGTTTACTTATAACGATGGAGAACACAGACCATGATAAAGTGGGGGAATCTCTTAGAAGATGATAGAAAAGACTTATTGTAAGAGTTTGTCTTGTGTTAAGTGATGGAAGGAAGGGTCCAAGGCAGTAAAACTTTGCTCTGAATTGGATGCATTCAGAAAGTGGGAGTAATTCTGTGATTGAATGACTTCATAATTCTTAATTAGAAGGCAAGACCAGCAAAGGGAAGCTAAAGCTGTGACTGGTTGAGAAGCCACATCTACTCGTATTAGCCAGAAGGTGGGGAGGGTAATGTTTGTGCTCTGGGTGATGTTCATGTTTTTGTCTGTGTGCTACATAATTACAGACTAGTCTTGCTTTTGTCTTGATCCATCAGGATCACAGAGTGGTCTTGTCTGATACTGGTGTCCTTTGGAATTGTTGATGTTCAACAGAAGAAACACCACAGCCTACCTGTGGGTACTAGACCAGCTCCTCGATGCCAGGGGCTGCTTTTCTCTTTATCAACCATTAAATGAGATTTATCGTACTTTTTGTGAAGTTTATTTTGCTTTACTGTTTTCTGGATTTGTTTTCAACATATTCTGTGTCAGAAAATCAGAATATGTGTACTCAAAAAGATTTCTGTACCATTCTTGGATATAAAGACTCTGTGAAAATTCTAACTTGCACACTGAATATTGAAATTCCTGGGTCATTTCAATAGTTCTTGGCAACCCGGGGACAGAATATTTGAAGTTTGGAATATCCCAGGAAATCTGAGATGTGTAGTCATCAAATATATTCTTCCTGCTTTCAGTCTATGTGTCCTGATCTGTCATTAGTGCTGTATTTTGTGATTTCATTATTTGGAATTGTATTTTGCATTAAACCTTCTATAAAGTATGTTGAAGTGAAATTGATTGATTTTGATTCCCTTGGCAAATCTAACTTTCCTTAAAATATATAAAGGTAATCATGAAAATCTTCTCGAATTATGTACCATAATATACAACTATTTATAGATTTCGTATCTAAAGGAAGTTGGTCACACTTTAGAATTTAGCTGCTTGTGACGATATTTCACGAAAAGTCAGTCTTTCTGATGATGCAATAAAATTGGTTTCATGTTTTATTGGAAAGTAGCCAGTTAACTATAATCTCAGTGCTGTTAAGGAGCAAGCTCTAGAAAAGTTCTCAGTATCTTCCATTCAGATGAATTGTGCATGTGCATGTATGTGCACCTGCTTGTTGGATCATTTCTCTACTAGAATACAATAATTTGTGTTTGCATAGCAATTTTCTTCTAGGAGATTCAAGGGGCTATTATCTACCATCATATTGAGACTTCCAAAGTCCCTAGAAACTGGCAGAATTATTGTCTTTTATCTTAAAGTGATACAAGAGGAACTTAACTCTGAATGGGTTAGAGGGGGAAAAATTAGGCTCATTCGTTTCTTTCCTAATCTTTTATTCAATAAACCGCCCCAAGTTAAAAGTAAAGCAATGACATATAGCTTGCTCTGAAAATTTGAAAACAGCTTTTACAACTGAGGAAATTAAATGTTATTACTGGGGCCATGTGCCTTCCAGATATGGTGTATAAGAAACATCACATGATCTGCGAGAGGCCAGCCAGTCCCTGAAGCTTGTTCTCATTGTGAATGTGATCACAAATCTGTGAGCTCTAAGGTGAGGTAGAGCTAGTTTAATAACCAGCTCAACTACCAGTTAAATAACTTGTTCCATCTATAAAATGGAAATGAGGTATAAATTTTTCACCAGGTGGTTACATCTTAGAAGTAATGTATAAGTTACTTAATATAATGCACAACATATAAAGGGGTGCCTTGTTTTCATTTTCTT